TTGCAATGGTTTATCATTTCCATACGAAACCTTCAGAAATTAGATACTTGCCGTTGAGGATTCGTGTTGAAATAATCTGTTTAAAACTGTCTGTAGAGTAATACCTACTATAAATTGATAATAATGTGAACAGTGAATGACTCAGACATATCACTTCGGTAAAACATTTCAGTAAATAACCTTCATTTGGCGAAATTGTTAATGATGAAAGCAAATTTCAGATCCTTGGTCATTCATTATCTGAATGACTTAGGTTTTCTTACAACTTCTTTGACCATTTCTCTGATTATTGATTGAAAAAAGTAGGTATGTTCATATACTTATTATAGTATATATAAATAAAGTACATATTTAAATAATGATCCCTTACTTTTGGACAGTCAGTTAGGATTGGCTAGTATGGACTTGGTTGCTACATTTCCCAAAGAGAGCAGTACTTTCTTGTATTCCATTTCTGCATTTCAATTTTCCCTCTGTAGAAGTTTCACCTTCTGTACCACGATAGTTTGTAAAGAAAATCGAAAAGCAGATGCTGAGTAGAATACCCCTGCCGGATGAGTTGTCACCGATGGAGGTAAGAATCCTTTCAAATGATGTCTGATTCTAAGGTAAGTGTACTCGTGCCGAAAGAATTCATGACTCTTAGCCCACTAAGGGACACTGGAAAACATACCAGACCACCCCCTCGTCATAGAAACCCTCGTCACAATAACGCGAAGCATTGCCGTGATCGACCTCTCTTCCTCAGCTACTCATGGGATTCTTCAAAGGAACATAATGTAACCAAAGAATCTAATCCTGAGTCTACAGAGGAAAAAGACATTGAATAAACCACGACAACTCTCTAATCTGTTCTTCAACTCTTTGTTTTGTTAACAAACCCAGGAAGCTAGGTGGTGCAGCCAGGAAGCGACTTATCGCTTTCTCAAGAGAAGGATGAATCTGCCTTGCACCAAATTCTTAAGCAGCAAAAGCAGGATCTGCATCAGGATAATAAACAAACACGCTCAAATATAACGTACCCAAACCAGAAGCGACAAACCATTTATGGCTGAATATAACCTATCATCGGATGTAGCCGACTTAGGATGGATTCATATGGTGGAGTCATTATGGTGTGAATCCTGCACCTTGAACGTCCAACAACCTCAATATTGACCGAACATCTGAAATCTCTTTAGTATATCATAATGGCTGCCATAGAGGATACCAGAAGGTACGATTCCAGAGATCCACATTCCGGTCTGCATAACTACAGGCAACTAAGACAAGATTGTCTCGTTGGAGGCGGCCATGCACCTTCTTTTCAAGTCATAGGTTTGTGTTGCTCGCTTACTTAGCGAAGGTAGTCACAGACTGTGACCGCCGATCAGGTCCTTACTAGATTGAAGTAAATGTACCATGGTCTGTCTACCTTGAACTGAATTATTCTTCACGAGATAATTCAGGCCCTGGAAACAGATTAAATTAAAATTTCATCATTTGCAACAGTCTCATTCTTACCAGCTGACCTGAAAGATCGCTCGTCAAATGAAGTAATTGGTGTCGTTAAGATGTTGGATTCATTTCGAGTAAGAGTGGTTGTGAGCCACATAAACCCTTTTCGGGTTGCCGTGGAGTGTCGAATAGACCCACTCATTTTAAATCTACCCCATTTTACATATTTCCATCAGGGTATTTCGAATATTTTTTACCCATCACCAAACGCGCATCGTGAGACAGCAATTTTGTTCTGATTCTATTCTCAATATATTTAGTTCACGCCATAGGTTTTAAGTTCCAATTATTGAAAAAATTGTAGCTTCTCTTACAAAATATTTCGAATCACTTCTTCTGGGAGACGGATGTTCAAACGGTTTCCATCAAGTGACGGAGTAATTCAAGAGAAAAGTTTAGGTATATAATTCACCAGTTGTTGCCCGCGGCTTCGCCCGCGTAGAATTTTTTTTGTCATATTAAGTTTCGTGACAGACCATTTTAAACAAATAGTTACAATATTTTTTAATAACCCAAAATTTCAGGTTTGCTACTCCAAAACTGACGAAATACAATACAACCTTTGAACCCCTATTTTCCTTCTTGGGGGTGGAAATTCCTGATTCCCTTTCTTGATGCTTATTTACGCTATACAAATAACCTACCTGCATATTTTAGGTTCAGGAGTGTCGAGTGTACGTTAATATAAGAGCGGTCAACAGCTAGAACTTTATATTCTTAATTTAAAAATACAGTAACTGAAAAAATATGCCAACTGCACTAAGTAATGATTAGCTTCGAGAATCGAATTACCTATGAAGTAATTCATAATACTAACACAACCGTCAACGACGTCTGCCCTTACGCTTCTGCCCGCATTCGGGTCGCGTTCTTGGCGATGGCGCTTCATTTCTTAGACAGCCCCTATACTCCCGCGCATCGTCCCTCGTCGTCTTACAGTGGACACGATGTGTAATGCCTTACTGCGTTGCGTCAAGTTAATCTTATCGTGATAACTTTCAAACGATTCGTCCAAATTACTTGTGTGAAAGACAAAGTTTATCTATTAAATACTTCAAACGACAATAATATCAATTTTTATAAGAATTTGACAGATATTCTAAAATGTGGATTGTAAGAATGGTATCAAATTCAATTGTATTCATGGCTCAGTATTTTGCATATATTGGCTACCACATAAGAAGTAGATATACGCTATCGAGGACTTTTATTTAGAACTGTTTGAGATAAACAATCTTACGGTACATTATCTGCATGGACGCACGCTAAGATAGCTCTCAGGGAGCAAGAATTTTTTCGACTTACCTAATGATTATATCTTGACCAAAATTACACAAAATATTTGTAAATTGTAGCCTATATGTCATTTTGATGTATGAGCTATATTTATGTGAAGTTTCATCTAAATCCGTTCAGTCATTTAGGCGTGAAAGAGCCACAAATATACACACATCCATCCTTACAAACTTTCACATTTATATTAGTATAGATAGATAGATAGATTAATGTTTTGTGTAATTTTGTTGGAATATGACGATGTTTTCTGTGCGAAGTCGGGACGGCGGTGCTAACTGTACGAAGTCAGGAAGGTTTCATCAATAGTAGCTTAATTCCTCTGACAACATATAATTGAACAGATATTATTTTTAGAAAAGTTTACAGAAAAGACGACTTTATCTTTTAAGGTTAGCTTACTATACCCATTTTAATGTTTGAAAAAATGGTCACGTAAAATGTGCTGATTGAAAAGTTATTTAGATGGATACATTTTGAATACGTATATATTTTAGTCACCTCAAGCTTTTCATGCGTTTTATAATTGCCCTTTACACGACACAATTCAAATATTTCAAGAGTTACCGCGAAATAAAAACTATCGTGCGACAATATGAATTCAAGGGGTCTCTCACACTGATGCGACACGCATGAGGCAAGAAGACAAGGTGCTTTGTTGCTTGGGTTTCACGTAGTGTTGTTGTCTTTTTGGTAGATATGTACCCATCTATTTTAAAATTGAATTTGATATTTTGGTTGGTTTCGGGATTTTGCCGTGGTCTTCTTTGGGTTCCATCTCCAAAAGTTTCAACTGCAACTGCCGCAGTTATCTTCAGTTGCAGTTGAAATGTTTAGAATCAAAAAAGACCAATATTCCGAATACTCATTCAACTGTTCAAATCTTTCATTGACTGAAATTAATGTAGTGTCCAAAAGACCGTTGAAAAATTCAATCTCAATTTTTTTTCCGGAGAAGCTGTAGGTTCATCGCGGGCAGTTTCACCAGCTTGACGCTTTAAATATCGAATTCTTGTCGTGGCTCTAAACACAGGTTCAATTTCCAGTTCTTCAGCCAATTCCTTCGCCGTAAAAATGGCGCTTTTGAAGTCTGTATTTCTATATTCTTCCAAGAAAGTGCAGCATTTTTTCAACAGTTCTGTGCATTTACCGAGATCTATGCCTGTTGATTGCAGATATTTACTAATGATATTTATTTGAAAAAGTATGTCATACCAAACGACCAATGACACTATGAAGCTAAACTCTTTCAGCTGTTCGGCTAGAGTAGTAGCCTCATGAGACACTTGAACATCAGTTCTCTGAGTTTCAATAGCTAAAAGTAATTAAAGCGTCTTGCTTATTGCACTGCTGATTCTTGCTTCCCAACGTGTGTCACTGAGCTTTTTTATAGTATATAATCCCAAGTGATCGGTTATAATTTTCCATCAATGAACAGAAGCTGAAAATAATGTAAACAACCTCTGAAGTACCCCAAACAAGTGACTGATTTTACGGATGACTTAGCGACATCGCAGAGTATGAGATTGTAGCTGTCCACGGTACGTAAACAGCTAAGAGATTTATATCCAGAATTCTCCTTTGAACCCCAATATTTTTTCCTTTCATGTTAGCCCCGTTGTCATAACCCTAACCCCTATAATTGCTCAATTCGAGTCCATATTTATTTAAAACATCAATGTTTTAAAATAATTGGAATAACTGTTTTGAGTGCGTGCATCGATGTAATGAATGAGAATGGGCTGAGTGTGTTCCGCTTTGTCAAAAATAACATCAACTCTCTCTAATTTAAATATAAAAAAGAGATACAAGCATGCAGTGCAGTGCTCCGATTTGAACACTGCGTTCCATTCTAGTGTTGGCAACATAACGATTTTTTCACTAAATTTAGGAAATTTACTAGTAAGTAGATCTCGCTTAATGAGCGAGAGGAAATAAAGGGGCGCCTGCGGCCCTGCGGCGCCCCTTTATATCCGGCGCCCTGGGCGGTCGCCCAACCGCGCCCTACCCTAACGCCGCTACTAGTCATGAACGTACTTTTGTTCGAGTGCATTTTATGAAAGATCATTATTATTGAATATTTATGAATTTTATTAATGAGGCGTGTTACCGACAAGTTATAAAAAACTGTATCATTGAACTTCTAATTAACTATACTCTGTTATGCCAATTTCGTAATTTGCAAATTGAAGTTTTGTTTTAATTTTCAGATCAAAAACATTTTAATCGCATTAGGATTGGATTCATCGGTAAACACCAAAACATCAGGACTTTCGGGAGGACAGAAAAAGAGATTGTCAATTGCTTTGGAGTTGATTTGTAATCCAATGGTTATGTTTTTGGATGAACCTACGACGTAAGTGAATGAATAAATTACCATTCGTGATATTGCCGGAAATAATATATCAGTAGAAAACTCGTAAAAAATAGGATTGCCTTCTTTTATGACAGTTCTCAAACTTTATCATCAATACTCGTAGATACATATGATAAATAATAGTAAATACATGTAATACATATGTAACTGATCTTTGTCTAATTGTCTTTACTAATTGTCTAATTGTTTTGTTTGGCTAATCAGAATCTGCTGGCAAACTGAGCTTGTGCCCCAAAGTAAAGTTCCACACATCAAATGACAGTTAACCACGCCATAGTAAACAGTTTTCAATACTTCATCTGATAATATTTCTCCGAGATTTCTTAATCAAAATGACTAAGATATTTTTCAGCAGTTCCTGAGTATGTTCTCTCCAATTCACATCAGAATCTCAATGAAAACCTCAGTATCTTAACTGTAAATGTACGATATATGATACTATGAAAATTATTGGGTTTCAGCATTCAGATATATGTGCTGTGATATGAAATCTATAGCAAAACATAATGACAGAATTGAGTAGATGAGAGTATCAGAAAACTAACATGACTTCTGAATTACAATTCTTGACGGAAAAATAATTGTTTTGAAATAAATATACAAATATATTCCAAGAACGTACATTGATGTCATACACGTGACATTTGGCCAAGGTTTTGTAATGCGCCTTGTAAATTTTTAGTCATGAACAAAGAATTAAAAAACACATGTATTCAATCTCATGGTAACATAATTCTGCAATAATTCTTCATTCCTCTTTTTGGAACGTCACACGGGTTTTAGTGGCACAAGACTGAGTGTACTCAGTGGCAAAGCCACTACTCGTACTTCTAGGAGATCAAATTTCTTGATGTCAGCTGGAGTTTTGGGTTGCCTTGTTACTGACTCCTTGCGTCACATTATTTGAATTATCAATACTTTCGTAGTTTATTTAATATATGATAAAGAAAATAACTTTTATCTGATTTCTACTAAGTTTTTTATTTGTTATGACCGGTTTCGATTTGTTTAAGCATTTTCAAGTAAATTGTTGCATTCTGATAAATAAGTACTCAAATATACAATTTTTACAGTCAATGTTCTTTTGGTACCTGTAATAACAAATGTTATCTGATATATCAATACCTGTACTGAAACAATAACTATTTAACTTTTATAACATATCAACAAAACTACGATTCATGTAAATATATTCATCACGAATGTCTACAAAATAAATAGGTCATCAATCGAACATGTATTTTATTGATTCAATACATAGGGTACCAACAGACATAAGTTCAAATTCGACATCAACGAAATAAATAGTACACATACAGATTTTAGGGTAGTTCGAGGAATTGAAAATAATTGTTTTCAAAATACTACAACACACAATTCCAATCAAACTTCAGTATTGACATCAATCAAAACTTATCACCTTTTTCTTGAATACTCATTATGACATATAAATCTAAGTATTTGGAACTAATTTGGCCTCACGATTTTATCAGCATGATATCTGAAACTGTTCGGAAACAGCGCAAGACATGATGCATAAAAAATCTCAACCAGTCCGAAATAGTCTCGGACACTTGGTTAAACCAGAACGCATTTTGAGGAGACGACTGTGCCACCTATTGTGTATATGAAGAGATGAAGACGAGAAAATACTATTGATTGTGTCCATTTTGTTATGTAGCGTATCCTTATAGTCAGTTCAAATGTTATCGAACCTCAATCATCAATTATTTAAATGAAATAAATGAAAAAACATCCTAGCAAATAGCCCAAACACATTTTCACATGAATGTGCATGAGCAACGGGAACAGTTCTC